GCAGGGGCAATGCTGTCAGGCCTAACTTTTAACAATGGATTATCTAATAAAATAACAAAAGCACACACAGCAAAAGACAAAATAAATAAATGGGACGTCATAAAAATTTAAAACTTTTGTTCATCAAAAGACTTTACTAAAAAAGTGGAAAGCTACCGACTGAGAGAGTATCTTCGGAAACCATATATCCAGTAAGAACCTAATAACCCAAATATATATAAAACTTCAAAACCAAAAAGACAACATAATCATAAAATGGGCAAAGACTTAAATAGACATTTCACCAATGAGGACATTCAAATGGCCACCAAACACATGAAAAGATGCTCAGTGTCATTAGCCATCAGGGATGCAAATCAAAACCACAATGAGATACCATTTTGCTCCCACTAGGAAGGAGCCCTCGGCTGCTAACCAAAAGGTTTGTAGTTCGAATCAACCAGCAGCTCCTTGGAAACCCCATGGGGCAGTTCTACTCTGTCCTATAGGGTCGCTGAGTTGGAATTGACTGAACAGCAACAGGTGTGGCTTGGTTTGGTTTGGAGCTTTTTTTTTTTTTTTTTACGACGGCTAAAATTAAACAAATACACAGAAAACAACAAATGTTGGTGAGGATGTGGGGAAACTGGAACTCATACTTACTGCTGGTGAGAACACAAAATGGTACACCCATTGTGGAAAACAGTATGGCGGTTCCTCAAAAAACCATACCTGTTGCCATAAAGTCAATTCCCACTCCTAGCAACCCCATATGACAGAATAGAACTGCCCCATAGTTTCCAAGGCTGTAATCTTTACAGGAGTAGATTGCCACATTTTCCTCCCACAGCGCGGCTGGCTGGTGGGTTCAAACCACCGACCTTTCAGTTAGCAGCCTAGAGCTTTAACCACTGTGCCACCATATGACCCAGCAATTCCATACGGCCTACCATATGACCAGAACTACCATATGACCCAGCAATTCCACCCCTAGGTATATACCCCAAAGACTTGAAAGCAGAGACTCAGAGATTTGTACACCAATGTTCACTGCAGCACTATTCACAATAGCCCAAAGGTGGAAACAACCTAAATGCCATCAACAGATGAATGGACAAACAAAACGTGGTACATATATACAATGGAATACTACTCATCCAGTAGGAGAAATGAAGTCTTAGTACACGCTACAATATGGATGGAATTTGAAGACATTATGCTGAATGAAATAAGTCAATCACAAAAGGACAAATATTGTATGACCTTGCTTACATTAAAAGACAAGAAAAGACATATGTATAGACACCAAAATTTATTAGTGGTTACCAGGGCCGGATTTAGGGCGGAGAGGGTAGGAGTTAACGGAGATGGAAATATCACATTAATGGTAGGGTTGCACAGCTGATTATTGTAATTGCTGTCAGTAAGCTGTAAGGCTGTAAAAAGTTGAACTGGCAAAAGTTGTGATAAATGTTATTTACAACAACAAAAAGTTGCTGCTGAGGCTGATCATATATGACCAAAAACCTCATGGGATTTGGTTTCTTGGTTTAGAGGTTTAGGGTCTCGGTTTCATGGGACATCTCAGTTAATTGACCTAATAACATGTTTAGTGCCTCTGTTCTACCTCCTAGTTCAGATGGTAGAGCCTAGGGTCTTAAAAGCTTGCAAGAGGCCCTCCAAGGCACAACAATTGGTCTGTATCCACCTGGAACAACAGAGGAAGAAGGAGAGTCAGGAACAGGAGGAGGATATGAAATGTGTGGCTAATTGCCTCCATGAAAAACTGCCTCCTTTTACATGAGACCAGAACTGGATGGTGCCCGGCTACCAGTACTGAACATTTTGATCAAACATTCCACAGAAGAATCCTGATCAAAAGGGGGGAAATGCAGAACAGAATTTCAAATTCTCATAGATTCCAGACTTCCTGGAGCCATGAAGTTTGGAAGAACCCCTGAATCTACTGCCCTGAGATAATCTTTAAACCTTAAACCAAAAATATCCCCTGAAGTCTTCTTAAAACCAAACAATAGTTTAGCTTAACTAGTAAAAAAAAAAAAAAGTCTGCCTTGAGCACTATGCTCTTTTAAGATATGTCTATACAAGATCAAATTGACAACAGTAACTTGAAAGATTAGATAGCAACCTTAGGGGGCAGTGAGTTTATGCTAATGGGGGAGGAACAACTCAGAAGGAGGGTGAGAATGGTTACACAACTCGAAGAATGTAATCAGTCACTAAATGGCACATATAGAAACTGTCGAATTGGTGCATTTTGCTGTGTATACTCTCAAAACAAAGTAAATAAAATTGTATTTAAAAAAAAAAAGAAATATCACAAGTGGACGGCTTTGACAAACAAATTTATTTTCCCACAGTTTAGGAGGCTAGAAATCCAAATTCAAGGCGCCGGCCCTGGGGGAAGACTATCTTTGTGGGCTGGCAGGGGTAGGGGCGGTCTCTTCCAGCTTCTGTTCCTCTTCAGTCTTCATGTGGCATCTATCCCCGCCCCCCCACGCCCCATTTGTCCTTGCTTAACTCTCAAAAGTGATTGGCTTAAGACACTCAACACTGATATGGCTTTATTAACATAACAAAGAAAACTATTCCTAAATGGGATTACATCCACAGGTATAGGGGTTAGGAGGACACAATTAAATCTGTAACACAGCCCCACATCTGTCCACTCCCATCACCCCCCAGCAGGCCCCTTCTTGGCTCCTAGACCACCTGCCCCTGGGCTCCTGACTAACGTCCTCTCCACTTGGCGGCCAAAGAAATATTTCGAAAATGAAGTCTGGCCCCACTGCCCCTTCCATGGCTCCCATTGCCCTTAGATAGTCCCTTTCCTTGGTCATACTAGGACCTTCAAAATGGGGCCCCGCTTGTCATCCTCCCCACCTGACAAACACCCCAAGCACAGCCTCCACTTTGGCAACTCCCCAGAGCCCAGGCACGACAAGCAGCTCCAAGCTTCTGGCTGTGCTGTTTCCTTTGCCTGGAATGCCCTTCCCCCATGCCATCCACCTGTCCAGCCCCACTGGCCCTCAAGACCCTGCCTAGCTGAGGCCAGGTGGGAAGGCTCCCCCTCCCCACTCTCCCCCATGTTCCCAGGCTGTGGGCTCCTGGAGTCCCTGTGCAGGGCCAGCAGGAAGATGGTGTGCCACCCACAGTTCACCCCATGGAGCACGAGATGCCTGCCCTGCATTGCCACACCTAAGCCCCAGACCTAGACACAAGGCACCCAAGGGGTGCCCTTGCTCCTCGGCCCCCTCCCAGGGCAGGACCCTGGGCTGCACAGATGCCCAGCATCTTGGCACAGGTAACCAGGTCCACAACTTCATGAAAACCTGCTTGGTCAACATTTTAAAAAGGAGGCAAAGTTAAGTGCTCTCTTGCCCCCATGCTCTCCCCCTCCTGCCCTAGTCCCACTGGCTGAAGAGGTTCTGACTCACTGTCATCTTAAACAGGGTGGCAGTTAACCGGTCCCAGCCTTGGAGCGAGAGAGGCATGCTTCTGGATAAGCAAGCTCTACCTGGGGCATTAGGAGGCTCTTGCCTGAAACAAGCCTTTCTCACCTGGCTCCTTTAGCCTTGAGAACGCCTCTCCTGCTTTAAAAATTAACCCACAGTTGTATAAGTCATTTCTGCCTTGGTGTCAGGTCCCAGGGGTGGAGGAAGGAAGCCAGATCTCAAGCCCTGGGTTCCTAGGTACACAAGGGGCCCCAGGAAAAGGGCCAGGCCATGGGTGGGTGGCATGTGGGCCCTCAGTCCACCCTGCCACATGGGGTGACCTGTGGGCTCCCTCACAAGGCTAGACTGGGTGGTTCTGTTCCTTCCGGGACCCAGGAGTCCCAACACAAGCCCACTCCCACCCTCTGCAGGCCTTGAGCGATCCTTGGGCTGCACCAAGCCCAAGTCCTGAGGCTCCCTGGCTCCCACTGCCTGGCCAGGTCACATGGGCAGAACTGGGCTAAGAGGCTCACAGGCCCCCCCAACTCTCAAAGCCGCACAGCTCTGACCCATTTCTCACCAGCCCGTGCCCCCAACACAAGGCCCCCATCTAGGTTCCTTCCCTTTCCCCAACATTCTTGCCCTCCTTCCTTTTAAGAACCGCACTGGGGCTGGGACTACATTCTTACACGTAAAGGAATGAGGCGATGATGGTGCATATTTGGGGGCAGTTGGCAGCCTGTTCTCCCCTTCCTGAGGCCAGCCTGACACAATGACCTTCAAGGTGGGCTGATACAGAAGCACCCCACGCAGCCTAGGGGGCCCTTCTATAGTGCCCAGTGCCCTGAGCATTATAGACATGCATTTCTCAACAGACTGTGGCCTCTGTGAGGGGCTGGGCAGCCTGTCCTGTTCCCCTCTGAACCCACAGAACCCAGCCCAGAAGACAGGCTCACTAAGGCCTCCTTGTGCAGAACTGCGCGGAGCGGGTGGTGCACTGCAGGGAGATGCCCAGTTCTAGCCAAGCCTGGCTCGGCCTCTCAGCTTTACTGCACACAAGCAGGGGCACACGCTCACAGCCTCGCTGAATGCCTGTGGCTCCATCTGTAAATGGGGCTGGGACATTAAGAGCCAGCACGGTAAGGTGACCAGCCCAGTGTGTAGCACAGAAGGCCTGCACATCACAAGGAGTGACCTGGGCAGTCCACGTCATATCCCAGCAATGCTTTAAAACAAGGTCACCAGGAGTCCCAGGGAACACAGTGAAGAGTTCTGAGGGCAGACTCAACAGAAATTGGGTATTTTTACAGAAAAATCAGGGGCCTCTTATGCATAGTGCTGAAGCCCCGTCCCAAAGTCCAGAGCCCGGGATGTGTGGAGGGGACTCTCAGGAAGCAAGCCCTTAAACACAGCCCCACTGTGTGGACCGGGAAGCCCCGCCTGTTATCTGCAGCCTGCAGGTAGTCATGTCCAGTGCAATGTGCCCACGGCGGCCAGTGGGCGCAGGGAGCACGGGGCCCAAGCACAGAGCCCGTGGGCCCAGGCCAGCTCCCAGCCCGCAGGGCCTCACTCGGGGGCTGCGCTGGAGCAGCCGCAGCAGCTGGGGTGCCGCAGGGACTGCATGACAGCTTGCAGTGGCCCCCGGCGGCTCTCCACAGACAGGCTGTCCTCGCTGGCGGGTGCCCGATGCAGCTGCTCAAACTGCATTTCCAGGTGCTTCTGGATGGCCATGCCCAGCACCTCAGGGTCCACCGCGGCCCCGTACACCTCCCATGTCATGCCCTCCGCATCCCACTGCACGTCCTGCACTGGGGATGGAGCCTCCTCCAGGCTGGGCCCGAGAGTCACCCCTGGGTACACGTGCAAGGCCACAGGGACTTCCAGAGTGGGGCTGGTGGCCACAGCCTTGCAGGCTGCTGCAGGGGCTGCCTGCACAGCAGCATCCTGGGCTGTTGGAGAGGACACCAAGTCACTGGCTGAGGTCATGGTCCACACATCTTTGGTCCTGGTGCCAGCCTCCGTGGCTAACCCGCTAGGACCCCAAGGGTGGGCACAGCAATGGGAGTACCCAGGTAACCCCCCAGGCAGCCTGCAATGGAACTTCACCCCGTGTTGAGCCTGCAGGCCAGACTCACTCACTGATGCCACGAGCTTGGGAAATGCCAGGATCCTTGTGGCCTGCAGGGCGTGGCAGCAGCCACCGGCCCCCACCTCCCTTGTGCCACAGGGGAGAGCTGCTGGAGGCAGAGCATGGCAGGAGGTGGGGGCCAGCTGTCCCATGGCTTTGCACCTGGCCTCAGGGCTGCTGCTGTGGGCAGTTGTGTCGCCCAGATCTAGCGGCGGCACCCACACCTGACTCTCCCCCAGGGTCCAGGCTGAGTCTGAGGTCCCCACAGTTCTGGAGGCTGCCCCGTCCTCAGGAGCCAGGTCCTTTTCCAGGCCTGCAGGGGGCTGACCATGCTGGCCAGAAATGCTGGCAGGCAGCAGCGGAGTCCTCTGGATGGGTGAGCCACCGAGGGCTGAGCAGCTAAGGCTGGCCTTCCAAACTCCACTGTGCCCCCGAGTCTGGGTGCTGCAGATCAGGTCTGAGTGGCTCCTCTGCACGGCAACGGTGCTGGGAGACCGCACGTGACACAGGTCACCACCGCCCACAGCAGACACGTTGCCCACGGTGCTGTTCCGCCAATGGCCCACTACTCTGGGCTGTGGCTGCGGGCTGGAGGCCTGCACCTGCTCCACGCTGTCTGCCTGGTACCCCTCTTCCTCTGGGGTCTGGGGGACGGTGCTGGCCTCACCCAGCTGGGCCTGCCACACAGTGCTGCTGGCGCTCTTGCAGAGCTCTGGTCTCTGCCCGTGGCCTTCGCCCAGCAGGCTGAAAGAGTTCCGGGACAGTGGCTGTGGGCAGGGGCTCCGGGGTGCCTGGGCCTCTGGCTCAGGGTGGCTGGTGCTCATGCTGCCCTGCAGGAGAGACGGAGGGAGTGGGACTGAGAGGGCGGCAGCACCTCGGCTGCATTTGTGGAACTCAGCACCGTGCTAGGCACAGGGGGCGGGTGTCAACTGCAGTCCCAGCCTGCCTGGCACTTACACACTGGCCAGGACCATCAGCAAGACTGCTGGGCATGGCAGGGAGTGGACACTAGGTGCCTCACATCAAGGTCATCAAGTATTACACATGGACAGGGAGGACACTAAAAACGTCTCATCACCGGGACCTGGCCCCAGCACCGGCCCTAGAGACCACGTGCCAGGCCAGCTGCTGACTCTTCACTGGCTGCACATGGGCCCACAGCACTGGTGGTGGGGGCTTTGGGGCAAGAGTTCCTAGGAACAGAAGCAGGGCAGTATTTTAACAACAGTACAGCTCTATCGGAGCCCTGGTGGCGCAGTGGTTAAGAGCATGGCTGCTAACGAAAAGGTCGGCAGTTCGAATCCACCAGCCGCTCCTTGGAAACCCTATGGGGCAGTTCTTCTCTGTCCTGTAGGGTCGCTATGAGTCAGAATCGACGTGACGGCAACAGGCTTGGTTTTGGTACAGCTCTACCAGAGAACACCAGCCCTGGCTCCACAGATACAGTCTTCGTATGCCCCTGACAGGGCGCCCTTGACCAACTACGGCCAATGAAGGTGTGTGGGGTGAGTAGTGAATACAGCACATGCTGAGAGCTGCCTGGGGGCCTCCACCCTCTCTGGCCTGGCCATCTGGGCTGTCACATCTCGGGGACTCCGTCCTGGTAGCTATAAAGGAGGAAAGGATGCCCTGACACCCCCTCGAGCACCAAGTGTGGGGAGAGGCCCCACGCATCAGCCACACATGGGACTCACTCAGCATTTGTTCACGTACTCCACACAGTCTCCTGAGCACCTACTGCGTGTCGGGCTCTGGAGCCTGGACATGGAACTAGTGATTTAGATATGGCTGTGCCCCAGGGATGGAGGTCCAGCACGGAAATATGACACCCACCCACAATCCACACAACACCTCCAATCAGACATGCCCTCCGTGAAGCTTCAACGTATTTCCTCTTGTCAACTCTGCCTGCATTCTCTTTCTCTCTCCGTCCCTGCCACTCCTGACCCCCTTCCAGCCACACAGACCCCACTGGAACAGCCCACTGACCCACCCTCAGGCGAGGGTCAGCTCAGCATCTCCTCCCGGGGAAGCCTGTCCTGGCCCTCTCAGCTGGCCAGTTCCATCTCTGGTTGCACACCGCTGGCCTCCCTGCCAGCCGGATGTTGTCAAAGACAGGCCTGTGGCCTGTTCCCATCTCTCCAGCACCCAGTGCTGACCGGGAGCGCAGCAGTCTCAGAGAACATCTGCTGTATGCCCTGCCAAGAGGATGAGCCAACACGAGAATGAGCCCACGTGAGTGCTGAGTGCCACAAACGGGGCTGGAGGCAGGCACTGAGGAAGGACCACCCCTTCGGGAGGTGATGGGTCAGGAAAGGCTCCCAGGGGACCTGCCTCTTAAATTCAGGTAGAGGGAATGGCTTGAGCAGAAGGCGATGCTGTGTGTCCAGAGCTCACACAGGGCAGCAGTGGGCTGGGTGCTGGGCAGGGCCCAGAGGGGTGGGTGGGCCGGAGCATGTGGGTCAGCCTGCCTGGGCCAAAGCTGTGACTCAGGAAGATCACTCCAGGCCTCCATCAGGCAGGACCAGCTGGAGGAATGTGGGCAGGGACAGCAGGCAGGGCCTGTCCTCCCACTGCTGGGCTGATAAGGACTGCCAGGAAACCCAACCACCCTGGCTGGCCAGGTGAGCAAGGCTACCAGGAAAGGGGTGTTGGAGGGGCTCCCCAGGACTCAGTTTCTGTAGAATTACAGTCTTGGTGTCAGTCCCAGCTCTCTGGAGATGGCTGATGGCTGGTAGAGCCAACAGTGAGGCGTCCCATGAGCACTCAGGGCATGCCCTGGAGTCCAGTTCAACACAACTTCCCGCAATGACAGGAAGGTTCCACTCTGCTCTGTCCAGGACACAGGTACCAGCCACATGTGCCTGCTCAGCACCTGATAGGTGACTAAGAAATTGCATTTGTTATTTAAATTTAATAATTTAAATTTAAGCAGCCACAGGAGGCTAATGCCTACTGTATGGGACAGAGAAGCTCTGAACACAGACCCAGGCTGGGCAGGGGAGACCGGGCAGGGAGGGGAAGGAAGAGCACAGGGTCTGGCAGCTTCCGGTTACCACCTAGAAGGTGGGCAGTGAAAGCCGGATGGAGTGGAGGAGATGGGCGGTGTGGTGGGGGAAGTGTGAGGGCTTTGGCATCACACAGACCAGATATGGGCTCCCATCTGGCCCCCTGAACTCACTGTGGGCTGAGGTGCATCACTGAAGCCCTCTGGGCCTGACTTTCCTCACTTCTGAAATTCAGGTGACACCACCACCCCTCGCGGTGTGACGTGGCATAGCCCAGGGCCTGGCTATGTACTGCAGGTCCTTAGTGAGGGGTGCCCTCCCCTCCCTCAGGAGGTACCTGACCCGGGAATTGCTCTGCTCCACTAACCCCAGGCCACTGAGGAGGAATCAGAGAGGAAATGGACACCTGACCTCGCATCCATCAAGCAGAGTGTGGAAGCCCCAGGAAGGTCCCCCAGGTCCAGATGACCAAGGAAGACCCTGGTCCCCAGGAGCCAGCAAGGCCCTGAAGACATCTGAGGCTCCCTGGGGCTCCACAGCACTGCCCCAGGGGCTTAGGGCCCTGAGAGGAAGCCCTCACCCCTGCCAGCCCAGCCTGCACCAGGGAGGAGGGCCGTGGCCTAGGACATTCAGCCAAGAAGAAAAGGGTCGGGCAGAATCATCCACAGTGTGCCGAAGATTCAAGACAGCTGTGGCAGCTGGACCGTGCCAGAGGGCCAGGCCACACCCAGGCTTCTCTGCGGCAGGTCCTGACTTTGGAAGGAGACAGCCCTGGGCTAGAATCCTGCATTCTCTGGGCACATCCCCTGGGCTCCCTGCACCCCAGGCCACTCCTCATACATGTCTGTGAGCTCACACGAGTGTGAGCCGCGTTTGCCACATGGCAGCACAGCTGCGGTTCCTGCTGAGGGCCAGGTCTGGCAAACAGCCCTGTCTGTGGTCAAGTCTGAAGGCCTCCTAAATCGCCTCACCTGGGACAGACGAAGGCTCCGAGCATTTCTCAGCTCACAGTTCCCAAGGACTCTCCCCGGGCCAGAGCAATCAGAAACAGCCTCTAGAACCAGCACCTCAGCCAGCTGACCCCATCTGGGAAGGCCAGCCAAGGCAGGCTGCTCCACAGAGGGTCAGCGAGAGGACATGTAGACAACAGAAGACTATGACCCAGCCCCTGCCCCAAAGGAGCTCTGGGCCACGAACAGAAAGATAAACGCGTAAACAGAGGAGGGCAACAAAGCCAGTTAATAACAGGATCGCAAAACTAACAGCTCCCAGTTCCCAGCCACACACCACCTGCAAGCATGTGCACCTCCTTCCACAGAGTGTTTCGTTTAATTGTAAGGGCTACCTCACGAGATATATCTTCACTCCCATTTTACAGACCAGGAGGCCGAAGCTCAGAGAGGTCTAGCGAGGTCAAGAGCACACCGCTGGTGAGTGCTAAACCGGGGATTAATCCCAGGAGCGCTGCGGGTCTTCGTGCACACTCTGAGCACTGTACAGACCTCTGTCCTGAGCTGCCACGCTGCACCGCCATCACCTGTTACTTCTCTGTTGTCCTGGCTCGCCTGGAGTCCCAGCACTCAGCACAGTGCCTGACACTCACAGTGGTGCTCACGGGATGCCAGCTGAACCAGTGAGTGAGCAGGAGCAAAGCCTGGGCCCCCTGCTGCCCCTCCCTGCTTCTTAGCAGCAGCAAACAAGATGAGCAAAAGCTTGGTCAGGAGGTCAGAAGACGCACCAGCACTGGCTGGGAAGACCACGGCCACTGGCAGCCCCTGCCAGGCAGACCATCACTCAGCCCCTGGTCCAGGAACGCCAAGGAGGCCATGAGGAGAGCCTACACAGCCTCTAGCTGAGCCCCACGCACCCTGGACCTCCTAGGGAGCAAGGCCATTAACAGCCAGGCCAGACCCTGGCCCTTCTGAGGAGGTAGGAAGGGCAAGGATGGGGTGCCCTTAGATCCCACAAAACTCGGGAGAAGTCATCATGACTCCACCTGCCTCAGCAGATGGCTGCTCAATGCCCAGAGCTAGCCATCACCCAGAGAATCTGAGGGGATTGGGGGGTTAACTATATACCTGTTTGTTCTCTTCCCCACCCTTCCCCCCTCTTCCACAGTGGCAGATGACAAAACTGAGGCCTGGAGCAGTTCAGAAACGTGTCAGAGAACCCACAGCTGAAAGTGATCGGTTCAGAACCCCAACAGGGTCCTCTCCACTACCACTGGGCCTTCCCTGAGGGAAGGAGGGCTCTGAGGGGAAGTCATTCAGGGTTTTCCCGGAGGAGGGAGGCTCCCCACAGCTCCCTGTCACCAGGACTTCGGACAGGGCCAAAGAGGAGGGCTCCCAGGGAGCAATGGGATGCTAAGAAAGCCAGCCTCAGAGTCATGGGACTGAAAAGTCTGGTTCCAACCCTGGTTCTTCCCCTTCCTGCCTATGTGCCCCTGGGCTGGTCACCTAACCTCTCTGAGCCTCAGTTTCCCCAACCTGCAAATCCCTACCCTGCAAGGCTGTTGTGAAGATTAAATGTGATGGCGTACGGAGTGTCTGCAACAGTGCTTTGTTAATAACCATCTCTTTCCTCTTCCTATCAAAAATTACTTGAGGTCAAGGTATCACAGGGACTAGAACTGAAGGCAAAAAGGCCATTTCAGGCCCTCAGGACACCTCAGAGGTTAGCCTAGTCTTCCTTCTCAATCCTTCCGACTTCCATCCCATCCTACAACCTGGTTCCCATCATGCCTCCAATGTCCCCATCACCACACTAAGTTTTCCAGAGGCTATTTTAAATTTTTAATCTGGAAGGATACCCGCATGCACACATGAAGGCGTGCACAC